GAGCCGACAGACAGGCTGCAATGTCAAAAACCAGGAAAAGGATACACTGCCTATGCAGGGATACCCACCGTCTTGCAACCTCCTCCCCCCCCCCCACCCCCACCTCCAGTACATACCGGAGGCAGGTTAATCAGTGCTGGGGAAGAGGAGAGCCAGTAATCTCGCCTCAGACTCCGGAGAGCGTGACTGGTAATCTCCATTGACAGGCGGCGTAGGAGTAGCGAGGGATCGATGTGTGTTTGAGCCTCTAGGGGGCCAGGGGGTGGGGGGGGGGGCGGTATGGATTAAGGCCGATGACCAGTACATCATTGAACGAACAGTAAAGGTCACACATGGCTATTCTCTGAGCTCCTCCATCCTTAAAGCCTCGTAGTCAGACTTAGCCACTTAAAATGAAAATAACATATTCATATACTCACAAATACCCTTGCATGATGAGTATGTTTGAGACACACAGTAGGGTCATACATCTGAGTCCCATCTTTCGAGGCTGATCAGTTCTTAAAGAAAATCATTGACTTAACTGTTCAGTTGCACTTTAACTGAAGTGTAACTTTAATAGTTTGACTGTTAGCTTCTCACCGTTCACTGTTGTTTAGCTTCTGTGGTACCGAGTCATTTGCTCGGGCTGTGACGAGCGTGTTTGTGTAAACGAGCGTGACCTCGACCTTCAGCAGGCTCCGGCGGCGGTAAACGTCCCCAGCGCTAGGAGCTGGGGCGTATTGACGGATTCGTCGAGGCGTTTGCCGCCACCGCTAACGTGAAAGGACACGTCGTTTTTAACAGTAGTTAAGGATGGCCGTGACCTTCCCAGTAACTGGGTGCGCGTGGACAGGTTGCTGGCGAAATCCCTAGCGTGTTCTGGAATGGGGACCTGCTGAGAATATCGTTAATGCCACCATTTAGGCGACCCGCTTGATACCATCTCACACACCACTTTGGGCTTTAAATGGCCCATTTGGCTGGACGTAGGACTGGCTGTCTGTGGAGCCCCTCCCTGACTTCCCCCCCCATCCCGAGTGGGAATGTCAGCCCTGGGAGTCCAAGTCAGATGGCTGCCTGACCCCCCTGACCCAGAACGTGCCCCTGCAGTAACCGGGCCCCCAGGCCATGGTGTCAGGCCGTCTCACACCTCACCGCAATTCCCTCGGTCAGTCGTGCCCCCCTCCTGTCAGGCCAAATCACGAGCAGGTGACCAGGAGGGGGGTGGTGACACTGTGGCTCTGAGCTTCCGGCAGTCACCTCCCCAGTCAGCCATCTCCGAAGTACCTGCCCCCACCCTCTATATATAAATCATATGTGTGACCAGCAGGGGGCTTATTGAGGACGTGTTCCTCTGGTCAATGGAGTGGAGCTATCAAGAGGAGCAGTGGGTTTCCCTGGCTGGGGGGGGGGGGTCATTGTTTGGCTCCGGTGGGAGGCTGGAGAGGAGGTGGGAGCGTGGCGAGAATGCCGAGTGAGTCAAAACCTGCCCCCCCACCAATCACAGCTTCGCCTTCCCTCCCTGTCTCCTTCTCTTTAAAACTTCAAAGCATCTTTTGTTCAAACTTCGGTGCCAGTTCCACCAGATCTTAACGAGCACCCTGGATAATTATCCTGTACAGTGAGGCACCTGCTTTCAGCTGCATCTCTGAGGCCGAGCGCCGTCTCCGCTACGGCTTCATGGTCCCTGTTACAGCTTCACGGCCGCCAAGCTGCCGGATGCTGCCCCTGCTATGGCTTCACGCCCGCGGAACCACCAAACACCATCCCTGCTATGGCTTCAAGGCTGCCAAGCCGGCAAATGCAGTCGAACACCGTCCCCTTTACGGCTCCTCCGCTGCCAAACCGCTGGACGCCGTGTCTGCTACGGCTGCCATTTCCGTTACAAAAAGCTCCTTCTACACACCTCGCTGTTTTGGGGACCTTCAAGTCAGTTCAGGGCAATATCCGCCCGCTCTTCCCCCAGTTTTCCTGGTAAAGACAGGTAAGGCCACACCTGTCTGGGCGTGAGCACTCTACTGACCATGTGACTTTCAGGTTTAGCAAGGTGCCTGATGGGTGTCTGGGACAGGATAGATGGATGTATGTCTGGTGGAGGAGGGTGACATTCTCGGGGCTCGTAGACCTGCATCCTGCTCATGTCTAAAATCACAGCAGGTTGACACATGGGCGGCTTCGCTGTGACATGTGACTGCCCCTTTACATGTGTGTGTGCCACCATGCATCCTTCCTGGTCTGACACATAGGAAGCCTCCATCCGCCATCAACGTGAGCGTGCTGCACTATTTTTATGATTATTCTTATAATTTTCTCAGAACTTGAAATTGCAGAATCTTGTTGCAAGAAACAACACAATTTAGCGCTCGTGCGTTTCTGAGATGTCTTGTTTTTCTGAGATTTTTTTGTGACTGTGTTTTTTTTTTTTTATTTCATGTCATGTGATTGTCGTTCTTCATGATGTTTGACCCTGGCGAACAATCCGTCTCTGCGTCTAAAGAGCGACGCTGATGGAGACTTGGTGCCAGGCAGAGCAATTTGAAAGTGGTTACAAATGATTTTATTTCTAGATTGATTACAGCGCGCGGAAAGCGAGAGAAAGAAAGTGCCGGTAATGTTATTCCGAACATGCCTGGGCTATGAGCAAAGACTAAATTATAAACAAAAAGCTTGATGACTGGGGGGAAAAGCAGGTTGATGTGAATTTATTACCATGATGTGAATTTATTATGACGGTTTGTATGCCTGAGAGAGAGAGAGGATTTTTTTTTTTCAAATTAATTTTTTATTTTTTAGGTATGCTTGTGGCGAGTTTGTGATTGAAATAAGACCCATGTAGACGGCACCCCCACCCCCCCCCCAGCCCCTGTAACAAATGTCCAGCTTGTTCTGGGATGAGGGGAGGGAAGGAGAACAATACCAGAACCAAAGATGCATTCAGGGCACACAAATCCTGCTCATGATTATGCAAGGAGCCCCCCCACCCGAGCCCCCAGTCTCATCGGATGCAGTGGGTGATGTTCGGGGGTGCCACTCATATTCTTCTAACCCACAGTGCTATACTCTTGACGAGCATGATTACCAGTGAAAGAGCGCACTGAGAGATGTTCCATGCAGTGATCTTCGGAAAGACAAGATAACACATCCTTCTGCCCAGAGAATGGTCCTCCCAGCTGGCATCAGAGTTGGGCTGGGCGATATCGCATCGATATCATATCGTGTAAATGCAATAAGCATGTAAGTCTGGACGCCAGCTTTTCGGTGCTATACGGACATTTACTCGCACCCACAATTTAAGCAGATTAGTAGTGTGCCTAAAATATTAATGAGGCATTTTATGACGCCCAAAAGTCAGTAATCAGTATAAATTCGGCATATCCTTATGTTTAATAAATGTGTCGGACTTTAAACTGCAAAAAGTACCACCACACCGCCAATGTCTTTTTGACTTGTTTGTCCACAAAATCTCTTTTAAAAGATGTTGTGGCTGTTGAGCATATCTCACTGAAGTACGCCAAACCATAGTATACCAGAACAGTGCTATGTGGTGTGCTCTGCTACAGTGCATATCGCACTGAGGTATGCCAAACCATAGTATACCAGAACAGTATCATGTGGTGTGCTCTGCTACAGTGCATATCTCACTGAAGTACGCCAAACCATAGTATACCAGAACAGTACTATGTGGTGTGCTCTGCTACAGTGCCGCCTCACGGATAACTGGCATTGCACAGCACTTTGCCCGCATGTCTTACCACCGTATAAAGTGACAGCATGCTCTCTGTGCATTTCATAATGGTGTGGCCGATCATATGACTGGCTGGTGGGATGTGGTTTTCTGGTTTCTTAGAATATTCCAAAAACTCACACCAGCACTGCTTCATTCCCCTACCCGGCTCCTCGCATCCGTTACTCTCCCAGTCTCCCTTCATCCTACAATAATTTTCAATTCAATTAAATTCAATTTATTTCTGTATAGCGCCTTTCACAACTGAGTCACCCCCAGGTGCTTTACATGCGTGTGCTGTGATGCATTATAACATCATTAAGACAGAATATTACAAAAACAGGGAAAAGGAAAGACAACGAAATGAAAGAACGAATGCCATTGGACAACGGAGGAGAGGAACCAAAAACTCCCAAGCAGGTAGAAAAAAGAACCTCTGGGGGCCCCAAGGTCAGCAGGCTGCCCAGCCCCCCCCCCCCCCCAGGCTGAGGAGAAATAGTGGTCAAGGTCAAAACCAAAGACCATGGATGAGTCTCCATGCCGCCCTGTGTAGGGTAGCAGACTGAAGGCTGCACCCACGATGTTACAGTTCATAAGTCATGTCCATGATGTCACTCCTCCATGGGACTGAACCAGGACTCCAGCTCAGGTGGTGCATGCCGTGGTGCCATCCCGTACCGCGGTACCTCCATCCCGTACCGCGGTACGTCCATTCCGGGACGGCGGTTAGCGGGCTATTGACGGTTGTCAGCGGCAGCTCCGCCAGTCAGGAGCTGAAGCACCTTCTCCACGCATCTCCTTGGAAACGCTTTCTCTGAAGCTCCACGGCACGTTGAGAACAACATGTGTCTCTTAGAGAAATATCATGGTTTTCCCCACGTTTCTCCAGTCGGCTAATGATATATTTACCCTTTAAAGAATGAAGCAGGCAGGTGCTTCAGCACTGTGGCCTCACATGTCCAGGGTTAGGGGTTCGATTCCTGCCCCAGCTCGGGATCGCATGCTCTCCGCATGATCATATGGTTGTTCACGTGGGTACACTCCCATGGTCAGTAGACATATGGCTCAGATTATTTGGGATCTGTAATTTGCCGCTTGTGTGTGTTTGTGATGAACTGGCACTTTCTCCGTCATCTGTTACCTCCTCAGATCGTGGCGTTTTGAACACAGCCTGTCATGTGCTTTATGTGCTTTATGCTTCATCCTCTAAGCAGATACAGCACAAAAGTGTCTGTTTTTTGAAAGTTACACAAATCTCGCACAGCAGACAGACAGCCTTTGGGTGAACCCAGAGTTCTCTGTTTGTCCGTCTCCCTTTGTAAACATCGTTTGACCGGCCGACTTCTGACGAATTATCCCCCATCTGTTTTTTTTGGGGTAAACATGGATCATTTGGGATTTGACAGAAAACACTGCAGAGGTGTAAAATGTTGCCTGTTGAAGTGCGTACGACATGCTGTGATGTGCCGTATTCGATTCCGGAATTTCCGGCATTGTGTGTTTATCATCATGGGGGGGGGGGTAGGGCCTGTTCCATGTGCTTTCATCACACAAAGATAGGAGATCATGCCTCTCCCCTCCCCTCCCCTCACATGAACATCATTACCCAGCCGGGGGGGGGGGGGGGCACAGCAAAGCGAAAGCTTCAAACTGTGTCCATATTTCAAATAGATTTCAGTTAGATGTTTGTTGTCTCGCGTTTCCGCCGCGCTGATATGTGTCCTCAAAGGGTTTTTCTCCCCGCACGCGCCGATATCTCGCCCATATGACCTGGGTTTGACGAATGATAACCTCTCCCTTGGTGCATGCTTTCAATTAGCGCGGCAAGTGTGTTTTCCTAGGGGTTACAATCAGCGCTCGAGTGTGAAGCGGCTGTCAGATTCAGATCCGGCGACTTCCGAGTCTGCGGCACCTGGCAGAACCTGTTAAAAATACCTAAAAGCTCCTCCCTGCCCCCCCCCCCCCCACCTCACTTTGTTTTTCTGTTGCTTCTGAATATCCCCCAACGAGACAGGGACAGGCAGAAAGCCTGTTGGCAGGGCCGTGTTCATGGGGCCTATTCTGTGGGGGCCCCATCCGTGTTGGTGGTGAGGGGAAAAGGCATTCACGGTGTCTCCGGTGGCCTCAGAATTCCAGGGACTCCCCCCAGGTCGTTAAATTGGCACCACTGCCAAATTTGGCGGCCCTGGGATTAACGAGGGATCCCAGCTTCTGTAATTGGACCCTGGCCCGGCGCGGTCCCCTCCTCTCCGCCCGGCGCCATCGTATCATTAATGCCCTCCCGCGTTCCGCTCGGGATTCGCTGTCGCTTATTTGATTTTGATTACCGAGTCCGCGGATTTCCTGGAGGGTGACGGGCTTTCTTCTTCCCGCTCACCATCTGGGGCTGGAGTCCATTATGTCGTCCAGCTGACTCCGCTCGGGATACAGGCTCCGCCGGGGAATGTCCGGGAACAAGAGAGGAGGAGGCAGACGAGGAAACAGAGGACCGGCGTACGTGTTAATTACGGATGTGCAAAAACCTCTGTGTGGCGAGCGTGACGTTTTACCCTTTCGTCTCGGTGACGGCGCCCCCGAGCAGGTGCGCCAGAAGAAGACTTCAGAACAGCAGGTGGCCCAAGCTGAGCTGACCGCTTCCAGACCGAGACAGTTAGTGGGAGACTGGTAAACCCCCCCCCCCCCCAGGGAGGTGGATTTAAGGTTCTGTGGATAGTTAACCGGGGATCCAGGAGAGGCAAGACCAGGAAACACAATTAAGTTTGAGTCTGAATGACTAACAAATAAAAAAGGCGACAGAAACTAAACGGGGCTGTTGGGGGAAAAAAATGAAATTCATTCATATTCTTCTCTTTCTTCTCAGTATAAATATTAATTCTCCGGACCATTAATACATTATTACCTTGAAGAATAATATGGATAAGAGAAATAATAATTACAATTGTTTTTATTATTAATATCGCTAATAATAGTAGCACTAACAGCAATATTACTACTTAATACTACTGCTACTATTATTAAGTAATGAGCCGTTAGCACGTTAGCGGATAATAACGGTCCGGCCTGTGACGCTCGTCTCTGATTTTGTCTTGTCCCCCCACCAGCTTGACAGCGCCACCTCCCTGATCCAGGCCGCCAAGAACCTGATGAACGCGGTGGTGCTGACCGTCAAGGCGTCCTATGTGGCGTCGACCAAGTACCAGAAGGTGTACGGCACGGCTGCGGTCAACTCGCCCGTGGTGTCGTGGCGGATGAAGGTGCCCGAGAAGAAGCCGCTGGTGAAGCGGGAGAAGCCCGAGGAGTGCCAGATGCGGGTGCGCCGTGGCTCACAGAAGAAGCACATCTCGCCTGTGCAGGCCCTGAGCGAGTTCAAGGCCATGGACTCCTTCTAGACCCCCGCCACGCCGTACAGCCCCCCCCCCATACTGCTCTCTCGGATTCCTTCTGATCTTTCCTTTCTGTTTTCTTTCGGGTCATTTGTTGATCGAGGTTCGGCAGTGAGGCCCCTCCGTGTCCGTGTATCTCTACAATAGCTAGCTAGGATTGGGACGCCAGCGTCGATGTGGGGAGTCCGGATTGTGGGTGGGTGGGAGGGGGGGTTGAGTTTTGCCATTAGTCATGTTAGATTGGCCCAGTGAACAGGCACCTGATCACAGAAAACAGACAAGGATGGAAAAATGTGATGTTCACTGGGAAATCAAAACTGTCAGGTATCTCTGAGCCTCGCTGAATCTTGTGACATAACAGTAACACGTAAAGTGATCGACTATAATGATAGTAATAATGATTATAATAATGATTTGGCTGGATGTGTGTATGAATGATTTAAAAATATATCAAATTAACCAAATGAAAACCTTGATGTCAGCCATTGCTGGTTTTATGGATGTTCTGTCAGCTTCTCCCCCAATCCATCTAACGAGGCCGCTTAGATTTGTTCAGTATCGGTATTTTTTAATTTGGTTGTTACTTGTAGTGATACGATGATGTTCATGGTTAATATACCCAGAACGTAACATTAGCGTACGACTCATTTCTTATAACCCATGTGGCCCATAAAGCACAGGATTCCATCTACACCATTTTTAAAATGTATTTATTTAACTATAATGCCACTAACTGTTTCGGCCTGGTTGGACATAGGGATAGGATGTTGTTTAATTTAGATGTGGAGAGGATTCAGTGAATTGCTTGGAGGTTAATGCTTTCCATGTTTTCATATTCTCATGTTCTCCATTCCCCAATAAACTCTTCAACTCTACCTGCTCTGTGCAATCAGTGCCCTCAGGTTGATGTTGGTCGTGGCACACGTGCAGTCCTTGTTCAAATCTGTTTCCGACCCAATGTCGCACATACGAATCCACGTCGGCACCGATTTAATGTTTAGAGATGTGCTGCAAGGGAATTTTCCGGAAGTTTAGACTTCTACCAGCGTATCTGTCCACCAAAACCTGCGGAATTCCATCCGTTAGGAGAGCCCATAATTAGTATGGAGATACTAAACTCGTTTGTTTTTTTCTTTGAGTGTTTGTCCGTAGCGGTCATTATTCCTGAGGTTTTGGTGTTTGCTGAGCTCCAGAGCACCAGCCAGTCCAATGGGCGGCACAGTAAATTAAACCGAACCAAATTGACCAGCGTAAGAGTGTGAAGCTGCCGAAGAATCGAGCCGATCGCCAGAGGTGAGATTCACCTTGGATCAGTACTGGTCAAGACTGGAGGTCTGCATTGGTCAAGTTTCAAGCTTTATGGTCGTTTGTATTCGGAAGAACGCGGTGAAATTCCACAGAATGGCAGAGTTGCAGGGGAGGGGCGGGAGGGTAGGACAAACATCAGCGCAATAAAAGGCCAGACAGTGCAGTGACAAGACAGTGCAATATAAGAACAAGCAGACAATAAATAAGCAATAAGTAGGTGATGCAGTGGGGAGAGGGACATACAAAAAAACCACAGAGGTGGTAAAGCGCAGAAATGGAATATTAGTAACAAGGGCAATACAATGCAATGAGGAGACGGATACAGGTCACTGGTTCTTTAGCGACCTGATGGTTTGGGTCACGGTTTCTCTGCTTCTCTCACGAAGTGTCTACTGCTCGATGCAGACATGCTGAGTACGGAATTCATCTGTGTGTGCAGAACATATGAACTCCGAGGGTGGGGAGGGGGGGGGGTCCTCGAAACGTTGCAGATACGTGCCTAAAAAGCACGATATAACGAAACGACATATATCGGACATCAATTTCCCATTGTTTTATGTGAAAGAACAAATCAAGAATGTAAATTTATATGGAATTGTGTAAGTAAATGAATAGGGTATGCTTATATATTGAACATTAAACTGTAATACAGTATAATTTATTGTTTTTGCTAAACAATGATTAGAAAAGACACTGGCATTTTTTAAGTAATTAGTACTGTTTTGCAAGTACAGTGACTTAAAGCCAATAGAATTCATTTAGAAGTCAAATAAAATGCCATAAGTACTGATTTTAAGTGCAGGCGGTCCCCCGGTTATGAACAAGATCCATTCTGTCTTTAAGTCGACTTGTAGGTAAGTAAGCAAAATAATAATACAGCCCATAATAATTATTTTTATACAGTAATAATAAAAGTACATACAGTACTGTATTCTACCTCAAGCTGATGAACCATTATATTTAAATAGGCTTTATGGCGGTTCGTTTTAAGTACGAGTTGTCTGTAAGTCAGGCTTTCTTAACCCGAGGACTGCCTGTATATCGAATTCACCGTCCCTAATTAATCAATGATGTGTAAGCAGGTTATATCCCTTTGTATGTAGTATAATGTATAAAGAACCTTTTGATTGCAGCAGCAGATTTGTAGAAGGGTCACAAATTTAACCACAATGACAGATTTCATTTCATCCTGTGGCTTAATGAGCAAAGGAAAACCAGCAGTATTTATTAGCCTAGCTAGAGCGCACATCGATAAAATTCATAAATTACTAACAATGTCTTCATAACAAAAATTACCAGAGTCTGATTTATGCATGCGACAGACATAACCTTTGGAGAAGGTCTGTGTCCATGTGAAATAGTTGTAGATGAGGACCGGACCGCGACGTGGACTCCTGCAGGCTCACAGTAAGTTATGCATTTGACATTCATTTTACATTACTCTGCCTGTACAGTCCCTTCACATTCACCGTCTTCCTCTGCTGGGTCATGAGGTCTGTCTGTCCTTTCCTGGGGTTTCGACATGACACAGGTGCCGATGTCTTTCCGGGGAGTGCTCCCGCCGCCCCCTCTCTGGCTGTGGGGTCCGGGAGTCACCCACGGCTGTGGATACAGATTTCATTGTGGGGGCGTGGCTTGTTTCCTGATGTATGCGCTGGCCAGGCCAGCTTCTCGTTTAAAGAGCTGCGGTATTAAAAGCCCAGAGTCATCCTGAAATCTAATTAAACCAGTATTGCTTACTCTCACTCTCTGCTCGTCGGACAGAGCGCTGTGTCGGTAATGAATTATTGTTACCCCGCGGCAATCCGGCACGTGCTGAAATGTGAGCCCAGTACGGTCGCCGCACATAGGGGGTTCGAGACCCTGTTTAGGGCAGCTTCAGTCCTCCTGTTTATCGTGTCAGCCCCCCTGAAACCAGTTAGCAGTTTGTCCAGTGTTTTCCTGTACGTCTTCGTACCCCCTGCTTGGGGTCCCCCCTTCCCAAGTTCCCCATGAGTAAATTTGCCGAGAGGAAGCGGGTATTTCCACCCTAAGGATCAAATCCTACAATCACCCCTGTTACCCTCCACAGCAGGACAAGGGACTTGGGACCCCCCCCCCCCCCCCCCCACTGCCTAACTATAGATGAGCCTACCCTGCATGTAGTATGGAAGTGCCATCCCACAGTGTGACTAAACAAAGATAAACTGGGGAGGGGTGACTCTCCAGTCCAGATATGGAAGACAGTAGCCATTAAACAGATCTTTATTTTACATTTGGCCAGATGGCAGCTTAATGGTAAGAATCTGGTGTGTTTTGAATTACAGTCCCAGTTGAATGAAAAAAGGACAGAAAAATACAACCTTGTTCCATTCAACAAGGTCACTGGCAATAATGCGAAACGCCGTGTATCATGGAAGAGGAGCGATTAACCAAACGAAGACGCGTCTGATTTACGGGGCGTCCCTAGACTGGAAACATCGACTTCCATCTTGACCCCCATCTTGATGGCTGTCAATGGGCCGTGTGGCACTGGAGCCAATGGTCGGGATCCTATTAGGCACCAGGGGACAGGAAAGTCGTTCTGTTTAATCATGGACCCCATCTGCGTGCGGCCTTGCCGGCTCGAAAATTGGCTTTTTATTGGCGAAAACGCATATGCGAGTCTCCTGTCTCACATACGTTGCATTAGCCGGTAAATGTCGTTAGTGCAAGACGGCAATAAATTCTGCGTTAATGCGCAGTGCGTGCTGGGCGGCAAAGCGCTAGTGCAGAGCTCCAATGCATACCGGCGTGCTTTTACCCGGCACAGGAGTGGGAATGTGACTTTTGTTGTTGCCGTTGTTTTCTATTTTTGAGCAGATCTTGGCTCAAGAAAAAAATAGCCATTGGTTATCGTGAATCAATAACGTGTTTTTTAAACTTGCCTTATTCCACGACTCCTGACTCTTTCACCACACCCAGCGGCAGAGAGGGAGGGGGGAAGACCTCCCGCTGGCCATTGTCACGTCTGACTCGCACGTGGTCCTAACTGGAAAAATGACGTTTCTCCTGCTCTGTGACACCCGCTGCTTACGAGGTCACCGAGGCCGCCGTCGGGGACCACGACCCGGCATCCCATAACCCGCTTCCCCGGGGCTTATTGTGTATGCGGCGCCTACTCACCGGGCCTCCCTTTGGTTTAATTAAAATCCCGAATTGATTCTGGACGTGAAATACACTTCGGGCAGGATCGGCTAAAGGCTTTCCACTGCTTACATAACCCACGTGTCACATACGCACATCGCAGCCTGTGAAGTCCAGCGCTGACCACACAGGCCGACTGTCATGTGGCCCGGCTCAGGGTCGAGGTCAACGGGTGTGAGGTGAGAGTCGGGAAAACGGGAAAAGGTCTGAGCACTGACCAGACAGACACCCTGTGTAACCGTGCAGTAACATCGCACATATCCACTCTGCACAGAGCTGCGTTACTTACACCATCACTTAGTCAGACACTTATCATTCTGAATAGCACAAAACCATCTATTACTATAATAATGTAATATTCAATTATACATTGCGGCACACATTTCCATGAATAATCCCTGTAAAACTCTTTCCCTGAAAACACCTCTTAAATTAATAGGTGCCATTATTAGGATCACGCCACGTTCTCATATCTGTCTAAGAGGGCTTCATCTTTACCCCCGGGGAAGAAATCTGTATGATTATTTTATTCACACCAAAAAAAAGTAACGATTTCTATCTTATAGATCTGAACGTGTGTTTAGGAAGAGACTGCACCTTGTTTTGGGGTGCACCCTGGCCAATCAGCTTGCTTGTAAATTAGAGTCCCCCACCCCCCCCTCCCCCCAGCCACCATCAAAAAAAAAAATCAACGTGACTTTCAATGGAGCCGCTGACTAGGTGGTTAGGGATTAATCAGCGAGAGACTTACACCCTGCATGATTGTTCAAACAGCAATCACCTGCTGCTGCATAACTCCTGGCTCACCCTAATGAACAGGCGCCCTGGATCTGCCGATCTGCAGGCCGTCACGGGTAAATATATAAATAAACCCAAACGGCACTGCCGAGGGAACGTATAAAAATGTCGCGCGTAAAAAAAAATGGCCTGTCTTTTGATGCCGAGTGGGTCCTATGCATACAGAGCAGAGGGTGCTCTGGGCCGAGGCCAGTATCAGTGGAACAAAGCAAAGAGGGGAAGAAAAAAAAGAGAACTTTAGGAATAGTCTTGGAGTCCGAGTGAGAATGGTAAGGTCGATAATGCCCCCGGTGTTTGTTTTTCTCTGGGTTCCACCATCCTTCCGTGTGTTCAGCGTCGCCTCCCTCTGTTTCCCTTCATTAATCGCTAAACAGTCATTTGTTTAATTTTCAGGTAGATCTTTCATTGAAGAGGACGTTATGGGGAGATTTGATGATCGATACCAATGAACGCGATAACTTCACCATTAGTTACGCTATTCCCCACCCTGCCTGCCACCCCGCTGTTAGTTAAGCACCTTGATCTGCAATTACACTCCCGGTTGGACATCCTAGTTTCTCTTTACCGCCTTTTATTTTCAGCTGGGTTCCTCTGTATTTATGAC